CAGTGTCTGAACCACAGGTGTCTCACAACCTGCTGGATCCCCATAAATAAGCAGGCCTTATCAGAAAACAGAAACATAGGAACTGCAAAACTCATTCCTTCTCAAGAACCATCCTGTTCAGTATCCTGATCCCCAAAACGACAAAGACCTTGATTAAAAATACTTCAAGTTGAATGGAACCCACCTACTACCCCCAGACAATGTCACAAAGTACCTTATTTTTACTGCTATGTGTTCATGATGTGAGGGTATTGATCAGCACGGACAGAACCTGAAAGCTTCCCTCTGAGCTGGAGCTTTGTAACAGACCCGTGCTTCATTTCTTTCTCTAGCTGATACAGCTCTGTGAGCCGGACTAAAGGTGGGAAGGGAAGCAAGAGCTCTGCTGAATGAGTTCCCAAGCTACCAGGACTGTAATCACACAAGTATGCATCTCGTGGAACAAGGGAGCACAGAAATTCCTGCCTTTGGCAGGAGGCTGTTGATTCCCACCGTGAAGCATCACCTGCCCAGTGGTCCATTCCATAAGGTCCCACCAATACGCCTGCTTCTAAGTGCTTTCTACTAACGCTCTGTGCCACCACTGCCTGAGAGGAGGTGGATCTATGCTTTATGGGTTAATCATGTTTTTAGACTGTTAGAACTCTCAGAGATCCTGGTAAAGCATTTGTTCAAAACCAACATCAATTTCTTTTGTTGCTTATGTAGGAAAAATTTGCTGTGCTGACATACCCCTCTAGGAGGATGAATCAGTGGTCTGGCACGGCCATCACAGTTTGTACAAATGTGTTGGCAAAGCAGAACAAACCCATGCAAAGCTACAGCAGGGGGAGGCCTCGAAGCCGGCCATCCTGCGAGTCTTACCTGCATATGCCAAAAGAGACGATAAAATCAACAGAAGGACTCCTAGAGCCGTGCTGGGGATCAGAGGGGCTGCTCTGGGCAAGGCGTAGAAATGCACTGCCAGTAAGAGTGATCCTGTGTGGGACAAGGGAGGTGGAGAAAAACACAAAGAGCTTGTAAGCTTTGCCCAAAAAACCCAGGAGAGAGCCAGAGTGGCAAGAGAAGAGAGGAAACAACAGCAGTACAAGATCTGAAAATAATGAAATCTGAGGAGCTGGGGGGGTGTGTCGTAACTTGGTTTGTGCCCAAGGTCTCACCTTCCTCAGTGCCTGGTTTTAAAGAACTTGAATTTAATCACGTTTGAAAGTGCTGCCAGTCGTCAGATAAAGGTTCTGGTTACACAAAAGGCAGACAGACGCACGCACACTCTACAGATGATCACATAAGCCCGGTGCCTACGGAAAACCAGCCTAAAAATGGAAAGGGGCAGCTCAGATGAATTGCAAAGAAGGAGCAAATAAAAACAGAGCTGCAGGGAAAACGGCTAGAAAAGGAAAAGAGAGGAAAATGCATCCAAATAAAGATCATTTATGAAAAAGACTACCAAAAAGTTATGATTTGCTTCCCACCCAGGATGGATCAAGCACAAAACTTCAGGCCAGCACTTTAAAGCCAAGACAAATATTTTGTTGGCTGCTGAAACAGGCACAGGGATCTCTCGATCTCAAACCTTTATCCAGGCAGAGGAGATTCAAAACAAACAGACTCTTTAGCCCCCTTTGAAAAGGGGGTTGTCCATGAGAGCTAGTCCCAACCCCATCCTCCCATGCCAAGAGTCGATCCCTACCTGCGGAAATGCCCAAGAGCCCTATGGAGGAATGCAGTGACTCAGCTTTTCTGTCTGCCATCGCAGAGTCCGCTGAAGACCCAGATGTGGGCTGAAATGCTGCCTCTCTTTCCTCCCTAGCTCTTTATAACCAAACCAACTCCACTGGCCTGCGTTCCTCCCTGCTCTCCACCCCTTTTCC